CAATTTGTTCCTTTGAAAACTGATACTTAAAGTTGTTCATATTCTCTATCCAGGGCTCCTCACCCCAAATGCTGGTACCAGAGGTATAAAATACAGAAAATATACATCACACCAATGGTTACAGGTGAGGTGAGGCCAGGGCCGTTTCTAGGCAAATTATAAATTAGGAGATGTTGTCTTTGGAATTCCTAACATTCCTTTTCTGTAGGAAGTTCCCTTTCCAATACGCCCTTTGGCCTTTCATTGTCCTCAACCTCCTTCCCTCTCTCCAGTCATTTCCACTAATCCTAATACTAGAGCATTGATATCTGGTGGTTAACGTTTGTTTTATCTCATTTTGTGTCAATCCCTCATATTTTCTTTGATGAAAACTCAAGAACACCCTTTATGTGACCTCCGCACTGCTCCATATAAAGGCCAATTTCCTGCTGAGCCCAGAGACAGCCTCAGAAACCTTAGCCTTGCCAGCAAGTCAGAGCTGACCAAGCCCTGACCTAGTTGCTGTTCTTTAGCCTGCGCCGTAAGCTAAAGACCCATCCTGGTGACTCTTGGGCATTACAGAACCAGCCAAAGAAGTGTTTGGGAACTCTGGGATTAGGATCTCTACTATGAAATAGGCCACCTAGTTCATCTATTTGTTTTTTCAAACTGTCATAATCTATTTTTTTCTAGGTTGCTATAGAGAACACTGATTTTATATTTTTAAAAAATATTTAGGCATATATTTGTAAAGGACTCATCAGATAAGGGGTTAAATCTGAAATTATATAAAGAATTCACATGCCTGAACACCCAAAAAACAAATAACCCAATTAAAAAATGGGCAGAGGACAGGTGAAGAAAGACAAATCCAAACGATTTCCCTCATTTGTGGAGTATAATAACAAAGTAAATCTGAAGGAACAAAACAGCAACAGACTCATAGACTCTAAGAAGGAACTAGGGGCTACGAAAGGGGAAAGGTGGAGGAGAGCGGGTATGGAGGGAGGGGAAGAGGATTCAGGGGCATTATGATTGGCACACATGGTGTTGGGGGGGATCATGGAGAAGACAGTGTAGCACAGAGAAGGCAAATAGTGACTCTGTGGCATTTTACTACACTGATGGGCAGTGATTGCAATGGGTATGGGGAGGACACGATAACATGGGTGAATGTAGTAACCACATTGTTTTTTCATGTGAAACCTTCATAAGAGTGTATATCAATAATACCTTAATAAAAAAAAGTTATCAAAAGAAAAAAATTGGGCAGAGGACTTGAACAGACATTTCTCCAAAGGAGAAATACAAATGGCCAACAGGCACATGAAAAGATGCTCCCACATCACTAATCATCAGGGAAATGCAAATAAGATATCACCTCACAACAGTGAGAATGGCCACCGTCCAAAAGACAAGAAATAACAAGTGTTGGCAAGCATGTGGAGAAAACAGAACCCTCCTACACTGCTGGTGGGAATGAAAATTGGTGCAGCCACTGTGGAAAGCAGTTTGGAGGTTCCTCAAAAAACTAAAAATAGAAACACCATTTGACCCAGTAAAATTCCACTTCTAGGAATTTAAAATTCCTAGGAAAACAAAATCCTTGATTCGAAAAGATATATGCAGCCCTGTGTTTATTGCCACATTATGTGCAGTAGCCAAGATATGGAAGCAACCAAAGTGTCCATCAATAGATAAATGGATAAAGTAGAGGTGGTGCATATACACAATATTATTCAGCCATTAAAATTTTTATTATTATATCAGCCACTAAAAAAAAGAAATCCTGTTCTTTGCAACTACATGGATGGATCTAGAGGGCATTATGCTAAGTGAAATAAGCAGGCAGAGAAAGACAAATACCACACGATTTCACAAATTCGTGTTATCTAAAAACAAAACAAAATGAACAAAATAGCAGTAGACTCACAGACACTGAAAAGTGACTGGTGATTACCACGCGGGAGGGTTAGGGGTAGGTGAGGGGAATAAAGGACCACAAAAATTTTCAATCATAAGTTGATCATGTGGATGATAGTATATCACAGCATGGAGAATGTAGTCAGCGATGGTGTAACATCTTTCTATGTTAACAGAGAATAACCTCAGTAGAGGAGGTGAGGATTTAATAATATGGGTAACTGTTGAACCACTCTGTTGTATGCTTGAAACCAATATGAGATTGGATATCAACAATACTTCAATAAAGAAAAATTAAGCATTCACTAAATAAAAGTTGACAATATACATTACTAATCACATATAGAAGTCTTACATTTCAGTTTTTCTTCAAGTCCCTCGAAGAAACACTGTTAGTCCTTTAACCCATTCTTGTGCATTGATGCAGTTATCATTCTTTGTCAAATGCAAAAAATACTGAAAGAAAAAGAACACGTAAGTGTACTGTAATTTACAGTTATTTGATAATTCAAGAGTATGTATGTATGCATGAACAGATAAAAATCTTTCCTATCAAATTGAGGGTAAGAAAAGGTTTTGGCATACTCTTCCTTGAAAGAGTCAAAGTAACAGTAAATGTGTCCCCGAGACTTTTACAGAAAGAAAATAATCATTCTCCTCCCTGATCAATGATTAACTTGAGATGAACCAAGATGATCAACAGTGGAGCTAATCAATGTGATTATTTTTATTCTAAAAAAGAGTGGCAAAATCCTGTTCTGAAGAATTTGTAGAATACCTAAAGATAAATTACTGAATAACACATTTTCAAAAAAATACCAATGAAATCTTTGTACTATTGCATAGAAAATATTATCAACTCTTTCAGGCTGATGAATATGTTAATTATTTTTACTATGGTATGGCTTCAAGGGTGTATAGAAATGTCAAAACTAATCAATAAACACAAAATCTGTTAGTGAAACTGGGTCACATTAAATAATTTCCTATTTTAAACATATGATCTTTTAATTTTACCAGTATAACGAGTACTATTTTTTGCACTGTTATTCTTCATTTTTATAAGGGAAAAGAAGTGACTTAATAATTTACATGTCTATAGCATATGAATCCAAAGACATCATGATTAAAAGTCATATGCTTACCTTTTAAAAAACAATTTTGCTAGGTTACTTAGTTCATTAATGGTTTTCTCTCAAAGTGGTAGTTATAAAATAGGAAATTCTGAATGAGTTTATATTAAAAACTATCTTCACAATCAAATCAACTACTGCTTTATATCTGCAGCATTACTAGAATTTTGTCTTTCTAGCTTGGCATTAAAATATTCAGTTTTTGATGAAAGTTGAATATACTTATAATATTTTCCATTTAAAATATATACTTGCATATATTTTATTGCCATATATTAATATATATAAATATATTTATGCCATCTTAGCTTGGCCCACTTCAGTCTCTTATGACTTCTTACCCCTTTCATCAGCCTATCATCAGTCCTTCTAAATATGCTGTGTAGGATTGCTCGAAACACGTTATGATCTAATCCAATTACTGCATCTTACATTGGCACTTTCCACCAAGCTGTGAAAAAACCTTATGAGACACTCTACTTCACTCTTTTTGAATGCAAAAACAAATAAACACAACTTAGATTTAATCATTGAGTTCTCCAACCCAATTAAAAATATTTTACTAAGCAGCTATTTTGTTCCTGGAATACTAGATGTTTTAGTGTTTTAAAAAGATATGATATGGACTTGTTACTTAAGAACTTACACAATTAAGATGGGCTTCACTCAGAAGTTTCATAGGATGTTGTGTAGGTGATAAATTATGTAAAATAACACCATTTATAGACATGAAGAAAGAGAAATCAATGTAGGAAAGAGGAGTTTTCATAGAAGCAGACAGTGAACTAGGCCTTGATGTATGCATTGTATTAATATAGGAAGGCATGGTAAAGTAGTGGAGAATTCCTGGGAAAGGGAACAAGAATACAGGAAGAAGGTAGAGTTGGGGTTGAGGTTGAACATGCTTTACTGGGAGCACGGCAAGTTGGGATGAAGTGAAAATGAAAAGCAAGATGGAAGAGGATGGGCTGATGGCATAGGGCCTGAATGCTTTGTAGGAGGATTAATAGATATTATACTGGAGTAGTGTTTCTCATGATGTCATCCTTAGACCACTTGCATGAGAAACAACCTCCTCTCCATTGCATGTTAAATATGCAGATTCCCAGGCTTTGCCCCAGACCTACTAAGAATTGCAAACAGTAGACCCAGGAGTTAGCTCTTACACATGAGCTTGGTTGACTCATCTATGCACTAAACGTTGAGAAGTGCTTTAGGAAAATTTCACATGGCAAACTTGTATTGAGGGGGAAAACCGGAAGCATAGGAGCCAGGCCTGGACCAATAGGGCTTGGCTGGGGAGATGGAAATGAGGTCAGAAAGCAGGGAAGGAGCCTGACATCGCAGAACAATCCGCAGGATTTGGTGACTCTTTATCAATTTGAAATTTAAAAATACACACCTGGATCTCACTCCAGAGGTAGTAAAAGTGTATTTTTAAAAAGAAGTACACAGGTGATTAGATCTAGTGTGCCACTAGGACTGAGAACTAAAGGATTAGATTTAGTGCGTTTGGGGTACTAATCTAAGTGTCTGGGTTCTACTTCCATTTCTTATCCTAAATAGCTTAATTTAGTCAAGTCATTTTGCTTTCCTCAGAGTTCTCACCTATAAACATTGGGTATTGTTTTCAATGATCTCTGAGATTCCTTCAGTTCCTAAAAGTCTAATTGTATGAATCAGAGATTACCTGAGAGAACTAGAAGAGTTAGGAGGGAAAGCTGGTTCCTTTTCTTTCCCCCATCCTCCTCCCATCCTTCTTTGTGGGGAAAGTGGGGGAAACAAATATTTGTATTAGATGCTGTCTTTTAGATTATTTCAAATTAAATCATCTGAAATTAATAGCAACACATAGCAAATATGCAGTTCACAACATATGGGTTTCTACTGTGGTCAGAATGACTTGATTCTCAGGGTAATGGCTCATAAACTTAAAGAACAAGTAAATACAATCTCGAATATAAACATGAGCAACTTTTACCTGAACGCATCTCCTCAGGCAAGGGAAACAAAGTAAAAAATGAACAAAAGGGACTACATCAAACTAAAAAGCTTCTGTACAGCAAAGGACACCATCAGCAGAACAAAAAGGCATCCTACAGTATGGGAGAATATATTTGTAAATGACATATTTGACAAGGGGTTAACATCCAAAATATATAAAGAA